CTGTTCTAGTTCTTGGTGCTTTTCTAACTCTAGATTTGAACCCGGTATGAGGATCTTACGTCATCGGACAGTATGGATCTTTAAATTATCAGCAGAAACAAGCTGGAGGCCTAAGGTTTAGCACCAGCTTGGCTCACAAGCGCCCCCCCTGAGACGCCCTGCTTTTACCAGTTGGTGTAATCAGTTGTCATCGTTGCAGAGGCAGAAGACAGTAGAGACCTCCTACAGACAATGAACATGAAGCGAGTCCCTAACCTGGACAAGCTAAACAGTGGATGGTAAAAATTTGGCTTTAGACTGGATAAAAAGTCAATGTATGACTTCTGGCAGGAAACCACAACGCTGACGCAGGCACAAAGGGGATATGACACCACTGACAGGTGACCGGTGAAACACAGCATTAGCCTGAATAAAATTGCACATTTCTCTGAGTTTGAACATTGTTGGAAACATTTGGGATAATGTAAGTACACAACTCAACTAGATATAGAACATAGCTCTAGCTTTTTTTAGACATTTTATGTGGAAATGTTAAGTTACGGCAGGAACGTACCATAACTTACAATCTTTTCCTAACCCTAGTTTTTGTGGCTAAACTAAAGTGAGACTGTTTCACAATGTTCACCATGTAAGCTTTATTTTTAAAGTCATATTTATTATTGCTAACTTGACTGCGGAGCCCTGCATAGTCACATAAGAAATTACACTAGTGATACCTATAGCGTCATATTTAGAAGTGGCGGGTCTGGTCAGTGGCAGTATTTAAGAAGCCATATATTTCTGAATGGGTGTTTGGAAGACTAGAAGTTTATTAACTGCCCCATTGTATCTATAAAATTCCAAATTTTGGGAACATGGTGGATCCTGTTTGGAGCTGAGGGAAATTGCTGCCTTAGCTTTGTGTCATAAGCTGAGATACTGTTGCTGGTCTACATATTCTAACATTATGTTGTGTTTAAAATACCAAATATGACACACATACAACCTGTTGCACGGTTATAGTCCAGTACAAGTAGAGCCTGACCAGTATGGAAATTTTACCAATTTTAGAGGGGATATTATTGCAGATATAGTGAACTTTTGAGCTGAAAGTAAAATAGATTACTTTTTTTGCACTGAGATGACAGTGCAAATATACTCAGAAGGCTGTTTTCTCAAACAAATAACTTCCATTGTGTAGGATTTAATGGTATCTAGTGGTGAAGTTACAGATTGCAACTAACTGAACACTGCTGGCGTCTGTATTTGACAACCTAGGAATGAAAACGGCTGTGACGTCTGTAGGAGAAACTGCAGTGGCTGCGAAACTCACAAAAGGCCCTACCTAGAGCCAGTTTGTATTGGTTTGTTCGTCCGACTACTATAGAAACATGGTGGTTCTCAACTTTCAGTTAAACTTGCGGCTCAACTTTGCAGTGACACCAATATATTAACACAAGCTTTTTTTGTGCATTATGTACCAGAAAAAAATATTGGATCATTACAGATAACATATACGCCGATACTAATACGATACCGATGGGCAATATTGCCTGACTGATATATCAATCGGGCTCTAAGTAAGATTTTGGTTGATTGGGGTTGTCAGAAGTGACCTTTTTTGCCCCAGAACCCCCGAGTAGTTAGCTCTGGCCCTGCATGTGGGTCAAGAGTGAAATGAGCACATTCATCTCAGCTGACAAAGAGTTGGAGGTGAGTTCTAGGAGGTCTGAACCGGCCAACAGCGATATGTTAATCTGCCGCTTCCTTCGACTGTCGCTCTGAGACCAGTGTCCTACTTAGCTGACACAGTGCCTTACTGCCAACTCTGACTTCATCCTGTCTCAGACTGAGAGAGACAAGGACAAAACAGAAGGGGACAGAGCGGTGTCCTACTAGCCCACTGCAACAGGACACAGTAGGCAGAAATAAGTGATGGTAGTGAAGGGATTCACATATATAAGAACACCCACAATTAATTTTTCAATCTACCCAAACCTTTATCTATTTCACCTCCCTCTTTTACTCCACCTATCATTCTCATTTCTCTTTCTCCCCCTGTGTCTTCAGTCAGCTGCTCCGTCAGCATACTAATGCCCCCGGACTGAAGATTCTCCCATAAAACTGTCCCTGGTGACGCTGTGGGAAAGGCTAAGACATCAGAGCGGGTTTATGCTGCAGTGTAGCTTAGCAGGAGTTTAGCCTTTAAAACAGAATATTCACTATGTGTGAAAAGTGATACCTGCTCCTGCAAAATGGTTGACGGGACAAGATTTCCTCCAGTATTTAGATTCTACACTGTCCTGCTTTAACACACAGCATCCAGGCATCATTAATTTATCTATCTAAAATACATAATACCATGCTGAAGCTTAAAAACCCACGGAATATATTGGATATTATAGATGTTTGCTTCACATAATGTTCATTTGCTCAAATATTTGACCCAGTTTGACACCAAGTCGCAGACTAGTTCGTCATGCAGCCCTTCATTTGAATTTAATCTGTAATTTGAGTAAGCATAGACACAGTCTGACCCCGAGTCAGTCACACAAACAAAGGCAGCCCAGTTAGTTGGTATTTCTAGCCCCATCCTCCCAATTATCACATTCACACTCTCCAGGGTAGATGATGCTATCATTGTGCAGACAGACAAATACTGTATGTGAATTCTTGACACTGAAACATCACATTACTTGCAGATTACATCTTATTCAGGCATTTATCTAATATTCTCATCCAGAAACTTCAGCCTGAGTAAAAGCTAGTGGTATAAAGATTTAGTTTTTGTCTATGTTTTGTTTATTGTCAAAGGAATAAACACAATGTCAAGTTCTGTGTGTTTGTT